TAACAGACACGTAAACATACACGAGTGCCAACTCCTCGGCGTGGATGAGCGAGTGACAACGCCATCATCCTATGGATAAACATGCGTTTGTTGTCACGCGTGACACCACGTTTGCATGGCAACACGAAGTACATGACGTTTGCATGGAGACACACGTGACCGTACGTATGTAGACCTACACGAGAGCCAACTCCTCGGTATAAATAAACGAGTGACAACGTCATCATCCTATGGATCAATGTCTTTTTGAAGACACACATGACACTACGTTTTGCATGAAGACATGAAGTACATCACGTTTACATGGAGAGACGTAGTACACCATGTGTGTTTGAAGACATGAAGTACATCACGTGTGCATGGAGACACGCGTGACAGTACGCATGTCAACATACACGAGTGCCAGCACCTCGGTATAAATGAACGAGTGACAACGTCATCATCCTATGGATAAACGTGTGTTTGTCGTCACGCGTGGCACCATGTTGGCATGGAGACAAGAATAACAGTACGTGTACATGAAGACACGCGTGACAGTACACATGTCAACATACACGAGTGCCAGCACCTCGGTATAAATAAACGAGTGACAATGCATCATCCTATGGATAAACGTGTGTTTGTAGTCACGCGTGGCACCCCATAGAGACACGAATGACAGTACGTAGGCATATACCTACATCACGTTCATGTCTGTGCCTGTCGATTCACCTTTAGAATTCAGCCAACACCTTTAGAATTCCACACCATGATCGTAGCGCTGAGGTGATTGCCACTCACCGACGTTTAACTTAGACGAACGGCTGTCATCGTGGGCTACAATACACGATCGCCTTGTGGAACGAAACCTTACACCTCAAAGTTGACAAACACATCACCATACCCGATGACATGATTTGTGACATGTTGTTGCAAGATCCTTCGCCGATATGACGTCAACCTAGCAACAAAGTGGCAGAGTCGTCGACTGTGTATGATAAGCTCGTCTCAGTGAACTATCATCTCCACATGCCATCGCCACACACCCACCAAAACAAAACAAAACAAAGAACCCGACTCCCTTCCCGCCTTCCTCCCTACCCCTCCTCCTCCTCCCTCCCTTCACCACCACCGCCTTTTCTATTTCTATTTTTAGAAGAACAAAAGAACAACAACCATGTCGATCTTGTTCACCTTGTACGACCGTTTCTCTGGGTTTTTCCCCATCCCTCCTCCCCGGAAACAGATGCGACGCCCTCTTGGAGGCGTGCGCCACCGGAAACGGATGCGCCGCCATCTTGGGTGCGCACGCCACCGGAAACGGATGCGACGCCATCTTGGAGGCGCACGCCACCGGACACGGATGCGACGCCATCTTGGAGGCGCGCGCCACCGGAAACGGATGCGACGCCATCTTGGATGCGCACGCAAGTCCCATCATGCTCCGCGCGCATGCGCAGGTCACGTGACCGGATGTGACGTCACAGAGGTCACGTGATCCTCTCGACCAATCAGAAGCCAGGAGCGGTTCCAGAGTCCTGTCCACAACTACTAGCATCTAAACTTTATTTTTCTTGAAGTCAGTGAGTTTTGGCAGAGTATATGGACTCTCACTTTATATTGTTGTAGTGTCGTGGTATTATTAAGTTCAGAACATCACGAATAAACAATACATTATGTTGAAAGATCATCTCTGTCTATTTACGACCTTGTGCTTTCATTAAATGAGAACAGTGCCCTTTGAACCAAGTGGGCTCCAATGAAATCACATAGCCAAAATGACAAAATGACTTGACGGACTTGAGTCTCTCGGACCCCCCTTACCTAAGCTGGACCGAGTTTGATGCTAGATTTTCCGATGTATTGCATGTATTTCTAACTTAGTAATGTTTGTGTGTATAATTGTTATTATGAATTTTGAAATCGACATATTAAAGTTCCTATAATCGGTCTTGGGGAAAGCTGCGTTCTTTATTGCCAGTTTGCACCTTGAGTGATCAGTCTGTAAGCTCATAAGCTCCAAATGTTGTATTCATACACCACCCTTGTATCAACAATGTCTTTTTTCAACGCTGAATTTAGATCATGTCCAAAGGCGAAGTGAGTACCATATATATACTGCACTCTTTCCAGACACCGAATCTAACCACCGATCCATTTAGTCGCATCTTACAAAAGTATACTTGTATATTGCAAAATCTATTTTGACCCGGAATCCCACAGATGTCTAGATGTCGATATACATGATATGAAGGTCATTGGGTCACTGCTGGTGGAATAGTTTTGGTACTTTAATGTTAATGTCTGAGGTTGGGGTAAGGTATCAATGACCAAGACATGTCTCCAGCAAAGACACTTTAATATGTCTGACATGCACAACTAACAATCTAGTCAAGTCAACCTGCACGAGGCAACACTGTGGGTTAATGGATATGGTCCAACGTATATTGTATGGGATCTTTGGAGTTTTGTTCACGGTTGATCAGTGGCGTTGAGTGTTTTTCCGATGCTTCTTTCTTTCCAGTGGCCGGGATCCCATTTGAAGAAAAAACAGGAGTAAAATAATCATGAGCCCATTCTGTTGCAAGGATATTATTGCAAATTTGCCCTAAACGCCAAATCTGTTTTGGCGGATAATTGAGCCTGCCTATTCTCTTGCATTGACGTTTGTATTTACTTGAACTGGTTCGATGAATCTGCTGGTTGAATGAAGCTCCCGTGGTTCAACATTAGCTAAGTAGCATTTATCTGTGATGAGCCTATTACAAAAGAATTGTATGGGCCGAGACATTAAAACACCACACACACACACACACACACACACACACACACACACACACACACACACACACACACACACACACACTACACAATACACACACACAATACACACACACACACACACACACGAACACACACACAAACACACACAAACATACGAACACACACACACACATACGAACACACACACACACGAACACACACAAAAACACACACAATAAAAACATTTCTCATGCTAATAGTGTGAATAACAGGTGCCCTTGGGAGAGCAGGACATGCTTACCTCTTTCGCAAACTCCTGGTGTCATCACCTTTACGTCAAATGGAATCTGTTTCAGCCGAGTTCTTGCCGAGGGAAGAAGCATGCATGTGTTCCTCATGATGACCAACAATATGGTTTATTTGTTGATTGCAAAGGGGGACAATTGCAACACATTCCAAATCATCTGCCATGCAATATAGCCGCAGTTGAGCAATGGCACATTTCAAAAGTTCCCGAATTTTACTTATTTAAATCTTAATTCAAACTCACTCCCACAAATCGAGTCTTGTGTGTTCAGAGGATTGTTTAATCTGACTGTGTTGTTACTTGCCCAAAACAAACTCGATGACTCCTTCCCTGATGACATTTTCCGTGACCTTAAGAACTTGCATACATTAAATCTTGAGAAAAATAGTATGACGTCATATCCGGGTCCGGTGTTTCCTCCTCTCATCAACCTTCACAGCCTATATTTAGACTCAATTCCAGATCAAGCCAGGTTCGTCAGAGGCTTGTTTAATTTACCAGCCAAGAACAAACTCGATGACTCCTTCCCTGGTGACATATTCCGTGACCTTAAGAACTTGCATATATTAAATTTTGAAAAGAATGATTTGACATCATATCTTGATCGGGTGTTTCCTCCTCTCACCAGCCTTCAAAGAATATATTCAGACTTAAATCGAGATTCCAAACTCGCCAATTTAAAAGTTCTCTAAATGGACTGACGTTTAGTTTATGGAGGAGATTGTTGAATAAAAAAACCCTTTAAAATACAACATTCCAGAGTTTAAATGAAACCAAGCTATTTCAACTATCTCATAATGGAATAGGAATTCAGAAGAGTTTACACATCCTCTATTCGCTTGTAGGCAGGAACAGGAGGAGGATTTGGCTTAATGGGACAAGTACTATTTCAGTCCAACACAAGGAAGACATTGATGACGATATACTAACATAAAAGAACACGAAGTATTTAACACAGATATATGTATCATTGAGAAGAAATGGTATATACTTGATTGAAACTGGTTCTATCAATAAAGATCCTTTCAGGGGATGCATTGAAATGCTTAATGTGTCTAAAAACTTTCTGGTTGGTGATGGTGCTTTTTTTCCATAATAATGTATGGGTCTTCCCGTTTAAAGTATCTTGATCTCAGCTACAGCGACTAGTATATGGCATACCACACACACAACTGTTTGGGCCTCCAGCAGCACAATTACCACAATATTGTATATTTTGATGCAACGGGAGTAACTGACATGAATCTTCCAGATCAAGATGTGACATTTCACAATACAGATAACCTAAAGACCTTTCGTTTGGGATATAACAACATACATTTCAAACGTGTACATGGTTTGGAACATGTAAATCACGTTTACTTATCAGGGAATGACATTGGTAATATAAGTGATACCTTTTCCCAATCATTCTCAAATGTCAGAAAGCTATCTTTGAGAAATCTGCAATTTACAAAATGCTAACAACTCAATAACAAACTCTGAAAGTTTTAGAATGCTTAAAGAAAGATTAAATTAGATTCAAGCAATAAGTATGAGTCAGGATGAAATAAAATATGTATTTTTTTTTGTAAAAATATTATTTCCTGAAGTTTTACTTGTCCTCACTTGTTTGCATGAGCACCCACCTGGCCTCCCCTCTCCACGAGAGAGAGAGAGAGAGAAAGAGAGAGAGAGAGAGAGAGAGAGAGAGAGAGAGAGAGAGAGAGAGAGATGGGGGAATCGAGAGAGAGAGTTCTAAAATACAAGATCCATATTTTTTTGTGTCAGGCAATTTCATTTTTTTCAACATGTTGAAATATCACTTTTCTCACGAATTTTCCGGAAAATTAAAATTAGTTTTACTTACCCACCCTTTCCCGAGAAGCGCCGGTCCCTTAGGTGTTATCATGATATTTCTATGGAATAAGACATTACGTTTTTGTGATGGTCATGCGTTCTTTTGTTTCAGACATAATGCTGAGGGCACTGCTGGTTTTGCTGACAGTGAATCTGTGCCAAGGAAGTGGACATGTTTGTGACTTGTATTTTGACAAACAATATGGAGGCATCTTTGCTGATTGTACAGGCAGAAAACTTCAACAGGTTCCAAACTACCTTCCGGGAAACATAACAGCCCTGGATATCAGTGGGAATGATCTGAAAATAGTCCAAAATAACACATTTTACAAATTTAACAAGCTCATTTATCTGAACATGAACATGAACCTTTTGTCAAAGTTTGAGCCACGGGCATTTAGTGGCTTGTCCAATCTTACCACTCTCCTTCTTGCCCGAAACAAATTAAGAGACCACAAAATGTCTTTCCCAGATGAACTTTTCCAAGACCTTATGAGTTTGCAAACTCTTAATATCGAACAGAATGAAATGTCCTCTTATCCAGATTGGGTGTTTCTTCCTCTAATCAACCTCCACAGTCTGTATATTGACTCAGTTCCTGCTCCTTTGTTTGGTTCAGGATTCTCCAAACTAGCAAATCTGAAATTGTTACAGATGGATTCACGGTTTCTGTATGAAGGAACATGTTCAACTGCACATCTCACAAATGAAACATTTCAGAGTCTAATTGAAACAAAACTTGAAGTTTTGATTTTAAACTTTTGCTCAGATTTATCACACTGCGAGTCTGGCGTTTTAGCGCCACTAATATTTCTAAAACATTTGGAACTTACCCATAATCAAATAGGAATTCACAATGCTTTACATCTGCTCCATCCCTTCGTAAAGCAGAATATGAAAAGAATTTGGTTCAATGGTACATTCAAGTTCAAAATGCAAGATGAAAAAGACATTGTCGATAGAGTCCTAACTAAACAAAGTATGCGTTATTTGACCCAAATATGTGTCACTGAAGTATCTTTGAGAGGTAACCAGTTATATTTGATTGAATATCAATCACTCTACAAAGATCCGTTTGAAGGATGTTTGAAAAAGCTTGATTTGTCTGACAACTATGTTGTTGGGGATGCAGGTATAATGTTTTTCCTGTTCAGATTTTCTGAACTTGAATATCTGGATTTCAGCTTTCAAAGACAGGATGAAGACTTTCCAAGTTCTGTAACATTACATGTAAACTCTTCCATAACAGTCACGTTGCCTCCAAACATTATATATTTCGGTTTTTCTGGTACACTGACAGGTGCCAATAGTGTCCAAGAAATCGTTTTTCAAAACACACACAAACTTGAAACTGTAATGTTTGCTTCTAACTTGCTGTTTGGTTTAATGAAAGTGAGGGGTTTTGAAAATGTGAGCAATGTTGATTTATCAGGAAATAAGTTTGACAATGTGTTTGATTTTCACTCATTTGCAAACGCAAAGCGGTTATCTTTACGAAATTGCAAATTACATTTTGCCCTTGAACCCTTCAGCGCACACATCATATTCAATTCTATGAAATCTGTAGAATATTTGGATGTCTCTATGAATCAGCTCCAATATATACAACTACGTCCACTTTCAGATACAATCGTTCATCTAAATCTATCGCATAATGAGTTTGATACCATTCCCATTGAAACACTTTATTATCCACGCCTTATCCTTATCGATTTGTCATTCAACCTCATTGGATATCTGGATAAAGATACCAGATCGAAACTCGACTTGTCAGCTGAAAAGAACAACCTCAAACTTATTGTCGAAGGAAACACCTTTTCGTGTAGCTGTGAAAATCTAGACTTCATTATTTGGTTGATGGATACACCAGTGATTTACGAGTCTGACAGGAACTTCGCTTGCCTTCTGAATAATGGCAGAATGACGGGAACCGTTGATGTGGCCAACAATTATAAAAGTCTAAATCGCTACTGTACAGGCAAATTGACCCTCAGTCTCTCAGTCACATTTATGGTGGTAATATTTACTTCCATTTCTGCATCATACATGGTCTCCAAGAATCCAATGCGATATCGTAATGCTTTGATGAGAATATTTGGATTAGGAATCAAATATTTAACACCCAAAGAGTTTGCTTTCACCTTCTATATCGGATATTGTGACGCTGACATCCCTTTTGTCTATAGGAAACTGCGACCAGCATTGGAACTGTGTAATTCCCCCTTGCGTCTCTTCCTGAAGGATCGGGATGTTCTTCCGGGGGTTGTTATTGCCGACGGTATTATTTGCGGTATCACTAACAGTTGGAAGTCTGTCCTGGTGATTTCAGATGACTTTCTTGAAGATCTTTCTCAGTGGTCACAGTTTACTCTTGATGCAGCCCTGTACTCTTTATCGGATCTGATTCCTAACCGGATTATTGTGATACTTATGGGCGCCGTGCAGGCGAAGGATCTCCCAGAGATTCTGCTGAATGTTGTGGAAGAGGAGTGCATACTACGTGTTGAGGATTACCAGGATGGGGATAAGACTTTGTGGAAGGATCTGAGAAAAACTGCCGGTGTTTGATAAGGTCAAACGTTTTCATTGCAGCAACTCAATGGATGGTAGGGAAAGGTCTCAACTGCTTGGGGACAAACTGCCCTATTGTAGTATCCCGGTGGTTGCCATTCTGTGTGTACATTTTCATATTTTTGAAATGTCAGATGATTTGACATCAGTGACAAATCTCTCAGATTTGCCAAATGTTTTGTGATCTAAATCTTAAACAATGTTTGACAATGTGCATTTATTGTAAATTGATTGTTAAGAAAAATGGTCTGCATAAATATAAAGTGTCATCAATACACATACTCGTATAACTTACATCTGAACTTATACATTTTTCACATCCTTTGATTTCTATCTTTTCCAATATGTTTTGTTTCTGAAAGATTAATTAATTCTTTTCATCAGAACTGCATCCAAACTGGGCTATGATTTATGTGTATTTATGTAAGGTAGGATTCAGTTCAAATATAAAAGGACTTATACTGAAAATAAGAGTGGCATTTCCTTGAAACCATTAATGATGCCAACCTTTGTAAATACATATCTGTTACTTGTAGTACTGTCGATATGTTTGGCTTTGATAATCGTTGATTTTCACAAACATATCCATAACCATGATATAATCTGTGTATTTGGCTTTTATCATCTATTTGTCTGGCTTATATCGTCTGTTTATTCGGCTTTAATCATCTATTTATTTAGCTTTCTTCATCTGTGTATCTGGCTTTCATCATATGATTATCAGGCTTACCTTCAATTATGTATCTGACTTTTATTTCATACGAGAAATGTTTTACAAATGGTTATAATTCTTTAGGCGTCTATGTTCCCAGTAAATTACTTAATCTGTAAAAGAATGTGTTATATCTATTAAACATTATGTAAATTATATAAACATATATTTTTTTATTTGAAGTTTACACGATATACGGCTTTTCCATTGGACGAGAGGTCCGTCACATGACCGCGAAATTGACGTTCATAAGTGTATGAACGACACAATTTGATGTTCATACGTTTTTCAAGAGACCGTGTTGAAATGACGTAAACACTGACGGACTACTTCCACATCCCTGGGGAAACCCCTGGGAGTTCCCCAGTACGAAAACATACAGAAGTGTTGTTTCTCATTATTTAGACCCTTTAATCTTGAACGTAGCGATTAAGCATACATTAGGATAAGTCAGAGAGTTTGATGCATGTCCGTCCAAGGATACCCTCGCTACTACCCATCTTAGAGAACAAAACGAAGAAAAGCACATTCAAACTACCGTAATAGAACTACGATAGTAGAAATTCGGAACTCTGTCCCGTCACGTTTATCGTGTCGGTCATTTTGACGTCTTGGCCTTGATGTAAATATATTACGACGCGCTGTCAGTGTGACTGACTTACTGAGGTAGTTCTTAACAGACCTTTTCCTTCTGATGAGGATATTATTTGTGTACATTTGTTTACAGCAACTACAAACATTGTTCTGTTGAGCATGTTGAGCATTCATAAGCTCATGTCACCTCTCGGTTTAAGGAACTTTTTTATTCCGCGACACATCTGGTTGTTGTATGGCTGTCAGTGTAAACATGAAGTCACACATACCAAATATATGTGTATAGATCACTTTGTTTGAGTTCATGAACCTTCATAGAGTGAGGGCCAAATTGTATGAACGTCGGAGCTTGCGCAAGTCAATTCTTAACCCCCTGGATTGCGCAGGGACATATATGTCCCTCCTCTGTAACCCTCACTTTGAAGTCGAATAAAATTAGAAATACATCACCCACACAAATACATTATATCATCCACTGGCATTTTAGACCAAGCAAAAGTACTGTAAATGACCTCTGAAAATTAGGAAAATAGTAAATGATGCCATTTTTTACACATTGCTAAATCACCACTCACGACGTTGTTTACAGCATGTTTTGAAATCTAAATTTCGGATATTTACTCGGAGAAATGAATTTCAAAAACAGCATATTAGTAATCACGGGTATCTGTCGTGTATGAAATCACCTATGGTCATTCCAAAACGTCTCCGATAACCCTAGAATCGTTTCGAATGTTTTAGAAAATACGCAAACACGAACGCCGATGTGACACGTATATTTCAAACTTAGCTGCGATAGATACATCCTTGAATTCCTCATACATTTTCGAACGCTGTGCTCGTCTATTCGTTCATGATATTGGCTCAACATTTTCAGAATATGCATGAAAATTTAAGAGAATCGTAGGAAGAATTAGGGAATTTAGAATAGATACATTGCAATGATTTGATATTTTCAACAGAAATTGTCAAAGTTACCGTCCTGTGTGACGCCATGACTGACCCAAAATCACGCACAACGACAACGGTATTTATCGGAATTTCTGACTATTTCTGTCAGATGAGAATGAGAGTGCACACGATCATGCTGTTTACAGTTTCAGTTATGATGTAGATTTTGCATATCTTTTATACATTTTCTTCACATAAATAATTGCACTTTGGATATTTGTCAATGTTCAAAATGATATCATACGTAAATATAGGCCACAACATGTATGAACGAACCTTTGATAATATCCTGTTTGTTTGAACATTGTTTACATAAAAATTGATAGGTTTATAGTGTCGAATACGATATTTCTTTCCTTTGGTTTGTTATATTGTTTCGTTTGGACAAGTGTTACAAGATGAAGTGTAAATATAACTGCGGCATGTACGTATGTCTTGTCAATATTCATATAACCAATGTCCATGAATAGCCGTTTCACTTTATTGAACTAAAACTGAATACATTACTTTAACAAAATGGATAATATTTTTCGTTAAAATATATGCACACATTTCTGAATTGAATTGTTTTTTATGTCGTTTGATATACAGAGCAGTGATATCTAACAGTTCGCCAGGTGCGCGTTTGTCACTTAAGGATTGACTGTGTATTTTTTTCGGTTCATTGAGGTATGAATCGAAAAACCGATGTGCAAACTGTATGAATCCGCGTACAGTCAATGCTTATAATTAAATTCGACAACGTAAAACATGTTTTATCTACAATAGTTTAACCCAAAACAGTTGCATATATCAAAACAGACAAAAATAACATTGATAAACATTCCAGGTGTAGGAATACATATAGTGGCGTGACATGAATCAGGTGATCGTTTAATTTATGCACATAACTTGACACGCCTACAATCAACGGAGAGTGGGATTAAAACAATGTTCATTGGACCTGCCAATTAAGGCAAGAGGCGAAAAGAACTGCAAAAGTCAGACTATAACGAACCGGAAGAAATATACCCGAGAGAAGGCGGCTGTTTAAAATAACATGGTCATTTACTGTGTGATTCAAATGATCCTTCCCTGATTACGGTAAAACGCAGTTGGAGAAATGTTAGTTAGAAATGAAACCCGAAGAAATGAAAGTTGAACCGAGGTGAGGAGGGAAAAAGCAGGCGAGCGAGCCTGCACGTTTGCTGTTTCATTTATTCTCGGCCTTCGGTTTCAAAGGCTAGTTTGGACAATGAATATGCATGAAAGTCGCTAAATGTCCTCTGCATGACGATACACGTGAGCAGAAAGGGAATTCCCTCGACTGTAATATTGGGATTCCCCGACATTCCACAGTAATAAAAGTAGTGCGCCGCGGTGGGCGTGGCTTAATTTTTTACATTCATTGGGAAATGAATGAAATAACACGTGACCAATTCAGCTAATCAGAATGCAGGAATTTCCATGAACACAACGAAAATTTAAGTATAAACAATTAACGAATTATCTCTCGTGTTGCATTATAAAATCAATGGGTTCATTCTTTTTTCAATATTGTGATCACAGGATATTAAACTGTTTACTTTATTTCCTCAGGAATTGTAAAAAGTATAAAAAATATAACCCATGCCAGGTACCCCGTTGGTTCAACCTTATACGATTATCCTGATAATTCTATGACGAAAAAGCGTCAAATTCCGTTTTACACATTGAGGTTTTCCATACCATGAACGAAACTTAGGGGAGATATATATTAATCAAAATACCAGTGTCGTCTTTCTCCGACGTTATCAAAGACATGGTGATATGTTTTTGGTATTTCATTACATTTAATAATGGTGCAACATTGGTCAAATTACACGTACACAATCAGGAGAATGTTGGAATCTAAGGACTTAGTTATAGGTAAGATAGGGGCATCCATTTCTCCATTACCTCTTTTCTATGAAGTACCATTTCATAATTTCTTATGTTTTTTTTATAACTAAACCCCCTAACTTATACCCCCTTTTCTTTGTACGTGTGTAACCTCTCTGTCGCCGTTTGACGTCATAGAGAAAAATCAGTTTTCATCGTTTACGGCATGCTATTTTCGGCATTGAATGTATGTCGTTATACATACGCATATAACTCCATTTGATATATAGTTATGTCGTTCAGATATTAGGCAGTATTTTGTTTGCTCAGTTTCCGTAAAGCTTCTAAATTAAAAAAATCGTCGCACAGTACTTTTATCGGTGAACGATAAAAAAGCGGAGAAATTTACTGTTTTCAACACAGAATAAATTCTCGGACAATACTTAGAAGTTTTTTTTAAAACCCTTTTAATATTTGCAGTTAAATTTACACCATCAAATAGGACAACCTTAACTTTTCCGATCTTAGGAAAATGTGCGTCAGAAACAATCTCGGCATCCAGGGGGTTTAAATATATTGAGCTGTATAATTTACTCAACCGGTTTCACGAATGTGGTACAGTTATACCGTTACGCTGTTTTGACGCCACAGTGCACTCTAACATAGTATGACGTCAAAGTGCAATCGAACATTATGACGTCACAATAAGACGCATAACATTGTGTGGGACAGGCGTACGACACATACAGAAATACAGACATAAGTATTGTTGTGGCAGTAAAATGTGCAATAATTTTATGAAATAATTGAATTGTTTGAGGCCATTTAGTCTTGGTTTGAACGTATTCATAAAATAACTTTCTTTCATCTTTCTCAGTGCATTTCTAAAACGGGAATAATATTTGGTGCTTTATTTCTGGCACATTGATGAGTGGGATACACCGTCAAGAGGGGTCTCTTATTTGTTGTTGGTTGACTCTCACTCTCGCTCTTAGGGTGTTCCCTGTCTGTCCAGTGTATTTAGCGTTGCATCCAGCACACTGTATGACATAAATCAAGCTTTATTCCTGGCACATTGATCAATATGTTGACTGAGTGGGATACACCGTCAAGAGGGGTCTCCTATTTGTTGTTGGTTGACTCTCACTCTCGCTCTTAGGGTGTTCCCTGTCTGTCCAGTGTATTTAGCGTTGCATCCAGCACACTGTATGACATAAATCAAGCTTTTCGCCTCTTACAATAAGGTACTTGGGACTTATATTCATAACTGGAATCCCCACAAGCAAAAACTGCTATGTAATATGAAACATATTTAATCTTCTGAATTATATGTAATATATGTAAATATACTAATGTGAATTAAAGGACTGATTATACCTTAATGAGCCATTAATCCGGTCGATTTCACTAGACACATAACAATCCAGATTGACGGGGTTTCGTCTCTTTGACAATATATATATATTCACTTAATGGTGCCTTGGTATGTTGATAATGTTGATAATCATTGCAGTTCTGTTACTCATACAACCTGCAGAATCTAAGATAACATGGACGAAATCGTTTTTCTTACACACCTGTGGGTGAGAAACCATTTGAGAAAACTGGTATCAAACATATGTGTGAGATCGAATTCGAGGCCCGTGATTGGCTACTCCATGGTGATGACCTGAGGTCAGATGATGAAGGAATGCTTTCCTGAGTGTCAGTCATTCATAAGTTTCTCGTGCTTCAGTCGAATGTTCACTTACGTCTGTATTAAACCACAGGAC